TGTGTCCCTGAGGGAGTCCCTGATGTCCCCGGGGGTGTCCTTGGTGTCCCCAGGGGTGTCCCTGACGTCCCCGGGCGTGTTCCTGGTGTCCTTGAGGGTGTCCCTGATGTCCTCGGGGGTGTCCTTGTTGTCCCCGGGGGTGTCTGTGGTGTCCTCAGGGCTGTCCCCGGTGCTGTCCCCGCGCTGTCCCCGCAGGTGCAGCACCAGGTCCCGGGCCTGTCCCCATCGTCCCCGCAGCAGCTCCCGCTCCCCCCGGCGCTGCAGCTGCAGCTTCCGCAGCTCCTCCAGGCGCTGCCGCAGCGACTCCGTGCAGTGACACAGAGCACCTGGGGACAGCGGCGACATTGGGGGCATCGGGCACATTCAGGGGACATTGGCAGGCTGGGGACACGGGGCAGTTGGGGATGTTGGGACATTGGGGACATCGCAGGGATTGGGGGGACGTTGGGGAGCCATTGTGACATTGTGAACATAGGAACACTGCGGGGACACGGCGGGGACACCGCGGGGACACTGGGAGCACCGGGGACATCGGGGATGCTGGCGAAATGAGGGACATGGAGGGGACACTGGGGACCTTGGGGATGTTGGGCACACCAGGGACTTTGAGGACACGGGGGACATCGGGGCATGGGGACGTTGGGGACACTGGGGATACGGGGATGTTGGGGGGGACATCGCGGACATGGGAGGGGTGGGGACGTTGGGGACATTGGGGTTGCTGAGGGCATCGGGGGACTGGGGATATTGGGGACATTGAGGGGACTGGGGACATTGGGACACCAATGGAGACAGGGGGACATCACTGGGGACATTCCCACTGCCCCCTCAGTACCCAGGACCAGTCCCAGCCTGGCCCAGTCCCTCCCAGCTCCCCCCAGTTCTCACCCCTCAGCTCGCGGTTCTCCGCCCGCAGCCGCTGCAGCGCCTCCGCCAGCGCCGGCTCCGCCTCGGGCCCCGGCTGCACCATCTCCGCGGACCGCCGCCAGCGCCCGCCGCTCATCGGCGGCTCCCGGGAGGCCCGGGCGGCTCGGGGACGGTTTGGGGCCGAATTCGGGGACTTTTGGGCCGAATTCGGGGATTTTTGGAATCCCGGCGGTCTCCGCCGGCGCCGCAACTTCCTGCTTCCGCCGGAAGCGAGTGACGTCACCGCTCCCTCGCTGCACTTCCGCCTCTCTAAGTGTCATGGCGGCGTCATAGCAACGCCGAGGGCGGAGGGCGCTGATTGGTTACGCCTCCGGGTGTGGCCCCGCCCGTTCTAGGCGCCGATTGGTCGGTGCAGGAAGAGGTTCGGCGGTGATTGGTGGATAAGGAGTAGAGGCGTGGTCGGGGCGCGGCCTCTGTGAGGGGATGGGGACCCGCGCGAGCGTGGGGGAGGCGGCGCGAGCGCGGCCGGAGCGGGAAGGTGCGGGGGGAACCGGGAAAT